GCTGTAGAGAGCCGGGGTGGAGGTGGGACCGGCAGGGGGAGAGGGCATGGGAAAGAGGAATATTATGCTTACCATTTGTGATACAAAAGCCTCAAAAGAACATATATATCTATATCTATACACACACACACACATATAATGGCATGGAGACTGCTTCATGGATCTCCAAGCCAATGAGGATCAGGCAAGTGTGAAAATAATGATCCGAAGAGTCAAAACAAAATAATGAATTATTGCTTAGTAACACGGCTGGTTCCTGCCTTTATGACCCTAGTCTATGATGAGGAAGAGCGGGTGAACAGGGGGAGTGGGAGAACCATGCCATGTTCTGTTATGAAATGAAATGCTAGGTGGATGAGAGGACAGAGTGCGTGCGTGTGTGTGTGTGTGTGTGTGTGTGTGTACACGTGTGAGTGAGCGAACACACCACGGATCCCTCTTATTCCAAACAGATGTTTCCCTACAACTAAAATGGCAATCGGCACATTGCAACGTGCTGGGCCCGTTTGGGATTTTCATTCTATTTCACTCGGAGGATCTTGTCTGTACACCAAATCTGGATCTAAATAACTTTCCTTATACTGGTAGCAACTGCTGTGTGTTCATGCACACATGTCCTCCTGGGGGAGTTCTCCGGACTTCCATCGATACAAATTAATCTGGCTTGCAACGAAAGCAACCCTGTACTAGTGGGAGTTAAACTGGTTTAGTAGCAGCTGCAATGCATCCCATTTCCAATTTAACTAAACTTGTGCAAGTAGGTGCAGGGCCGCCCAGAGGTGGGGGGCAAGTGGGGCAATTTGCCCCAGGCCCCGGGCCCCACAGGGGCCCCCACAAGAATATAGTATTCTATAGATTTGCAACTTTTTTTATGGAAGGGGCCCCCAAAATTGCTTTGCCCCAGGCCCCCTGAATCCTCTGGGTGGCCCTGAGTAGGTGTTCAACTGCTGTCCAAGACTGCCCTGCGGAATTGACCTGTCTGGTCACCTTTCTTTACTCCGCTGCTCCAGGAGCATCTGGTCCAGATCAGATGTCAATCACCTGTTTTAATTGCTCTGGCAAATGCATGGATCCCATTAAGCTAGGCATATGCCCGGCTGTGTTCCAGGTTTCTGAGGGCCTCCTGAAGCAAAACACTTGAGTCTCAGCAGTGAGGGTAGTGAACTACAGAGCCTTGGCACCCACTGTGCACTGACTAAACTCTTAAAAGTCCTGTCCTCCGTGAACTTGCAGTAAAACCTGGGATGGATTCTCTAACGGTGGTTCCAAAGTCCTGAAGAGGAATCATGATGGGCTGTTTCCAGGGCATTACAGGCTTGACTCAAAACCCTGCATCTAAACATCCCTGAAATATGGGATTGTCTGAACTCTGAATCCAGGAGCCAATCCCCTTTTTGCAGTTGCCTCCTTATCTTTATAATGCTTTGAACTGAAAATCCAGAGCTGAACTCCCATGAATGTTGAAGTGTTTGGAATCTGGGTCCAGCCTTGGACTTATGGACTATAGCAGCATTTGTAGTGATGCAGGCGAAGGGACTGATCCTGCAAGGTGCTGAGTACCTCCTGAGTGAGGCTGAGTGCTCTCAACTCTCACTGTAGTCAATAGGTGAATCATAGATTTTAAGACTAGAAGGGTGCATTACGATCATCTAGTCTAACCTCTTCTAGCTCAGTACCTCCAGGGTCAGGTCCTAAAATAGGGGTGGGAAAGTCTCGTGCTTAAAGATATAATAATCTGATTGGCAGATGTGCTTTTTGGGGTGGGGGAGAATGGTGGAGTGCTGGTTTCCTCCGAAACATGAGAGGCTGGAGGCAGATCACTGAGTGTAATGAGCACACGAACTGATCCGGTATGACGTCCTATTTTCCCAGACTGCAAGTGACATTGGCAACGTGCTTTTCAAACGTGCTTCCACTCACTGGGCTGACTTTAAATAAACAAGTCTACTGGCCCAGTGGAATATGTTTACACCCCACTGTGGTGGTCTATGCCAGAGGTCTCCCAACTGATCTCTTTTTGTGTTAAGAGGGACACCTGCTGCCGGGGACATTTGACACTTTCCCTACTTGTACTAGGGGTTTCTGTACATGTCCCTCACAACCTTCTTTTTGCCCTCTATGTTTTCCATGAAAATGGTTTCTTAAAAGAAAGTTCAAGGGACTTATCTGTTTTCCTGGGCCAATTAAAACTAAAAATAAGATGGGCAACTTCATCAGACCATAGAAAACTGAGTAAATTAGACCTCCAGACACCGTAGCTGGGTATTAATCCAGTCTTGTTATGAAAGGGATGCTGTTAACTAGTAGGTTAAAACTCCAAGGGAAGATGTAATAAAATCTTTCTAGGGGGTTTCATATGAATAGAATATTTTTTTTATATTAAAAGCAAAATTAAATAAACAGGGCGTTTTATTTATTTGTTAATTTAAGCACATCCCTCGAGGGTTATGAACTTAAACAATAGCAGCTTTGTGCTAATATATAAGAACCAGAAAGAAAAACTGAATAGAAACCAATGGGAAACTAAAGTGAAAGTGACCACATTCTGGTTTCAAAGTCCACTTTGAGTGAAGTGCAAAAGTAAACAAATAGCTCACACAGTGAAAAGGGAAGTAGATTCAAACCAAACCAAACCAATGACAAATCTATCTGTGCAGGTTTAATAATCTAAACTGCTGTTAATAACACAGGCAAGCAGTTATTTTAAAAATATGAGTTTTAACTTTTATGTGTGACCTTACCCGTGTCATTTCCCCTCTCTGTGCTGCTGGTTTTCTTCCTTGTCTATTTCTATTGCAAACTCCTTGGGGCAGGAACTGTCTTTTTCTATCCGTTCGTACCAGGCCTAGCACAATGGGGCCTCTATGTAATACAAATAACAATAATTAATATTGTTATCAGTGTACTGTTAAATTAATAAGATGAAAGAAAGAAACTTGGAATTTGTTTTCTCACTACAGGGAAGGAATTTTCTCCTAGGTCAGATTGGCAGAGACCCTGGATTTTTTGTTTTGTTTTGCTTCTTCTGCTGCGTGTGACACAGGTCACTTGCTGATTTGAACTAGTGTAAATGGTGGATCCTCTGCAACTTGAAGTCTTTAGATCAAGATTTGAGGACTTCAGTAACTCAGCCAGAGGCTATGGGCCTATTACAGGAGGGGGTGGGCGAGGTGCTGTGGCCTGGTGTGCAGGTCGGACTGGGTGATCATGATGGTCCCGTCTGGCTATGAGAATAGCTCTGTGGAGTTTCTATTATAAGCCTCACCTACTGGAAGATAAAACAAAAAGGAAATGTGTAGCACTGAGAACGCTCTCACAGGTTAGTTACTGTAAACAGGTCAGGGCGCTTTTGTGCGCGTGTGTAAATTATTGGTCAGAAAAAACAGTGTCTTTATTGAAATGCTTTTGTCAGCTAAACACATTATTTCCAGTTGAACATCTTGCAGGAAAAGGATACATTTTCTGGGCATACTCTCTGAAGTTGAATGAGACTTCAGATGAGGTATTCAGACATTATAATGATAAGGGCCATACAGGTACCTACAATAGATAGATAGATAGATGGGGTGGACGGGGATAGATAGATAGACAGATAGATAGATAGCTCGAGGTTTATTAGAAGGGACAGGTATGCAACAAGATTTTTGTCACCCCCACCGCAATCTTGCAATGGGACCTGCTCGTGTGGGCTCCGCGTGGGCCAGGGCTAGCAGATGTAGTTGCAAGATGAGAGCCCCGGGGGGTAATTTCATGGGCTAAAGTCCTTGCATTTTATCTGGCAGCAAAGAGCCAGGCGCACTTTGGGGACACTCTGCAAATAAATGGTCTCCTGCACTGAAATGAGAGGGGGGAATCTCATTCAGCAACCAGTGCCTCTATCTAGGGGCCAGAGCAGCCTTGTTCGCTGAGGGCCTTTAATGGGGTCTGGAAACCCTCAAGAGGGCTGCTGGATTGAAAAGAAACTGGGGACCTGTCTCTCTATTCCCCTGCCTGCGGTGCACGACGGGGCCCCCAGATCTCACCAGGGTTCATCTCCCCAAAGGGCTCCCCCCAAACACTGACTCAAGCACCAGCGGGGCGGGGGGCGATGGAGGCGTGGGGGGGGGGGCCTCAGCGCAGCAGGGGATGGGGGGGAGGAGTGGAAAGCAA